GCGATGCAAAGAGAAATCAGCCAGTTATGGCAGTACGGTAGACAAGCAATTTGATGCAGCAAGCTTTTAGGAGCCCCTGTTTTCTATGTTACGAGTATTTTGGAGACGAAATTTTAGCGTGCTGACTTTCAGAATCGCATTGCAACTTTGGCAAGTTCTTATTGCCAAATTTATGCGCTGATTTCGTATAAGCCAGTAGCATTAAATGGCACCTTAACTCCAACAATTGGCGGACGTTCAACAGAAGAATTTCCAGAAAAAGAAGCCAGATAATGTATACCCGTATCAGCCTACCAATTATAGTAAAATTCGTTATTCACTAGCCTATTTGCAATCGCCTTATATTCCAACTTTTCTTTAAATATGTCCAAAATTCACCAAATGATTAGCAAGTGTGCCTAAAATTATGCAGCCTCTTTAATATTCTAATAAAGTCACAAAACTAAGCGCATCACTAGATATTGTGATTTCTACTGCGCCTGAAAATATGCCATAAAAATTACTTTTTTAAGTGCTAATGAAGTGCACAAAAATTTTAAATTTTGTTTTATAGGGACATGTTTGCGGTAGCAGCATAATTTGAGGCGTAGTTGAAATCACGATAGATGCCCTAAATTTTGTGACTTTGTTAGAAAAGCTTAAGCACTTAAGCTTATTCGTTCAATAATTTTATCCACACCTGCTATTCAATTAGAGATTTTTTTTGCATAACAATTTCAAGAATCCCACTGCAGAACTTTATACGCTGCAAAAATTCAAATATTACGCCATTTAGTGGTCTTTTTGTAGGCTTCGTTTATTAGGTTTTTTTTTTGCTTTTTGTAGTTTAATTGGCAAGTGATTTTATTTAAATCAAACAAAGTTATTTCAAGTATGTGTGTATTTATGTACATATGTATGTACGTATGTATACATAATATAGCACAATTCTATTTCATTTTATATTTATATTTCTTATTTTTACTTTAAGTAAATGGTATAATAAAATATCTATGTATGTATGTTTGCATTAGTGTATGTAGTTTTTTGGAATATAATTTTTGTTTTCGTCGTATTTGGATTAAATAACACTAACATCAGCATTCATTGTTGTTACTAAAAATAAGATATTGTTTTCGTAATAGTATAATTAATTGTTTTTCTAAAGTAGATAATTATTTATTTTTTCTTTCAATTTATATTTTTTATATTAACTCCATTAAAAACTACTCTGCAAGTTTTTATATATTTTTTATATTTAATTGTTGTAATTTTATATACATACAATACATTTAAGGTAGTTTACAGGATTAGAAATAGGTGTGTATGTATAAATTTAGCCAAAGTACAGTGATTTATGTAAGTGCAGTGGGGCAAATTTTTCTTGTGGCTCAGTGCTAGGTGGCCGGACAAAAACTGTGTTTGGGTATTATTTTCAGTTTTTTTTTTTGTATTAAGAAAATTTTCTAAACGGGTTTTCATACGAATAGAATTTTTTTTAAATTTCAATTTTTTCAATACCAAAATGTCGCTTTTTACCCCAAATGAAAGCCGGACAAAACATATTTCTCAGGTGAGTTTTTAATACAATTTGTATTTAAGAGCAATTCTAAACTCTTGAAAATTTTAATTCTTTCAATCAAAAAATATTCAGTATTTTCCAAATTATGAAAAAAATTTAATTTACGTTATTTTTGTGATAAGGGCTCATTTTTTAGATAAAATTATGAAAAAATACTTTGTCGTCCCTTTTTCAAGCTCCGCACTGCCCCTTCTAGTGCCACTTTGCTAATATGTATGTGTATAAAGTTTAAATATATTTAACATTCTAATTTTTTATGTAAAAGCTAAGATATTTTTTTAAACAATTTTATAAATTTTGGAATTCTTCGTTATTCATAGTGCTGCACAATGCAAATAATTTGCAAATTTTATACATTAGGTACTTTTAAACAATATTTTTCATTTTCTAACACCCAATATTCATAAAAAATAAATAAGACATGAACTGCTTTATAAATCGAAATGTCACTTTGTAAAGCTCCTGAATCTATTTTATTTTTTATAAATAAGGTCATAATATTACAATTAGCGTTTCACATTAACTCGAAAATAATGATAAAAATTTAAGTTTAGTTAAAGTTTCTAAAAAAATAAGTCTTCCCACCCTTTTCAGCGCAAGTTAATGGTCACTTAAAAAATTTTCTAATTCGTTTGGTTAGCATGGTAACCACTCACTTTTAAAGTGGATTATTTTCAGAAGTGAAAAATATTTTTCTAAAGTTTTACACTCAAAAAATGTCCACGATTTCTCATGTATTAGTTATGTATGTGTGTATTTTGTGTTTACAAAACTGCGTTTATTTGCGGCAATGAATTGGAAATTTGTTTACAGTTATTGTGAGTTGGCGTGTTCAGTTTCATTATTTAAAAAAATTATTTAAAAATCATGCGTTGCCGCTATTTACGCTTTTATAATTTTTAGAGATGCATTTATTGAATTAAATTTAATAAAACAAATTATAATTAATAAAAATAATTAATTTTAGTTAAATTAATTCAATTCAACCAAAACTGAGAAAAGTCCAGAAATAAATTAAGCATTTTTTACAATTTCTTGGTTACCTTAATTTTGTTGTTAAAGAATATTTTTGTTTTGGAAACTAATTGTTCTTATACATATGTATTAGGCTGGTCTTTAAAATATCACAAAAATATTTTGTTGTACGTACAAAATAAAAACATCACGACGAAAGTTTCAAATTGAACAAGTAATTTTTAGCAAAAAAAACCGACTTCAACTCTCATATATAAATATATATATATATCTCATGATCCACTGCTCGGATCTTAACCAGTATGGGAGACACTACCTTTCCGATGCAAAAAGAATTATCGAAATCGGTTGACGTGGTCCAAAGTTATGCGGTAACTTACATAAAAAAAAAAAAACTGTTCCGAAGAACTGATAACCTCCTCCTTTTCTGGAAGTCGGTTAAAAAGGGCTCGCTACCAGTATTTGAAAAGTTTTTTTTTATCGCAAAAATTCGACCAGCTATAACTCAGCGACTTTTGAATTTATATGAATTTTTAAGATTGTAAGTCCAAATTTTTTCGTATTTTTGCAATGTTCTTTTTTATTTAAATATGTTTTAACCCTCGTAGTGACCCCTAAAAATTTTCGTGGATGTCTTTATTTTGTACGTAAAACCAATTAAAGTGTGCCACATGTTATTTTGCATGTATGTATGTATGTATATCTACATATAGGTACATGCATATGTAATATTATCTGCAGAATTAATTACTCGAAATATATCGAGCCTTAACCGCCAAAATAACGTAAGCGACATTTTTTCAAAATTTTCGTTTTGATGCAGAAATGCATCTAGATGCTCTAGGAATATTTTTGCATCAAAAAGAAAATTTTGAAGAAAAATGTCGCTTACGTTATTTTAGCGGTTAGGGCTCGATATATCAGTCGGAAAATTGATGAATTTTCAGCATTTTTTGATTTTCTTAAAATGCGAAGAAAAATATATTTTATTTTTATTTTTGTTTTTGGAATTTTTTAACTTCTGCGCAGTTTAGCATAGTATCCAGCTTTCAAGGCAACCAAAAAATTCATATGAAAAACGCCCAAGAAATGAAGAAGACATTTTTTCTATCAAAATTTCTTAAATCAGTTTGCTGCTCACAGGGGAAAAAATTCTCGTATATTTATTTCTTCAAGACAATTTACAAAAATTTTTGCAAGCAACAGAAATAATGAAAAAATATTTCCTGTGATTTTTTCTTGAGAGCCGGAAACTAAGCTTAAATGAAATATTAATGGTTATTTGGATTGCTCCTATCACCTGATCCCAAACTTTTCTCAATTCCTGTTTTCAGAATTTCCTGTTAAAAAAAAAAAACAATTAAATATGGCATTACGAAAAAGAAAATACAAAACAACTAACGATAATAGTAATAATTTATTTTGTTAAATAAAATTGTAATACTCGTAAACAATTTTTTTTGCAACTACTTCGTTAAAATATTAAAGCGAGGAAGGTGACACACGCAATACGGATAATAATAGACATAAATGTACCTATGTACATATGTATTTCAGTGTGCATGTATGACTTGTTCAAACCTAAAGGTTCAGTTAGTCTGGACTTGATTTACGTAACGTAGTCTAATATATTGGCCAACGCAATATATTTTTGTTCATAAATTTTTAGATGAGGCTTATAGGCGGCAAATTGACAATGAGCTGAAAAGGAAAATACAAAACCAAAATATTTTCGCTTCTGGCTAAGTTGACGTGTTGAGTAATCATTGACGATTTCTTACGTAAGTTATGTTAAGTCTAGAGTAACTGAGCCTTAAGAAAAAGCGAATTATTTTGACATTTTCGTAAATACCTATGCAACCAATATTTTCCAAATTTTCATATAAAATAGTAAGTGAAACGCCTAACTTTTAGGCACTTTTCAGGTGCTACATGTGCTGTATGAACTATTAGTAACCGATTTACAGATCTATAAGTTATTTAAAAATGCATTTTTTTTTTGTAAAATCATTAGTGTGGAAGCCGATATCTGTGTGTATAGAAAAAAATTTTGCGAGAACAAAAAATTATTAAGCAAATTGTCGAAAGTACCTATTACTGAAATTTAAAAATATAATAATAATAATAAATTTCAAAAAATTTACTGAACTCAAGCCTTATTCTATGTAATGCATTACTTACAAGCATATGTGTGAACATAATATAAAGAATAAATAAATGTGTATATGTATATTTCCAATTTTTATACGCCAATTTTCGAATATTAATACTACATACAGATAAATTAAGTCAAAGATGCCAAATATGTAAATAGTACAAAAAATATAAATGTGTACGGTGAGCAGAATCAGTGAATAAAAAGCTAGGAAAATTTTATTTGGAATACTTTAGTTGCTGGGTGCAGGAAATTTGGAAGATCCACAAGGCAAACTGCAACTGAGCACATTGGAGCGCTACTTTAGAAAAAATCGTGCTATTTCGGAAGCTTCGATCAAATCAGTAGCAATTAATTTTTCAAACTTACATGCCCTTCCATGCATTTTGTCTGCTACCTCAAAATTTTTTTTGCTTTTTATCGCCTCAATAATAAACCTAAATGACTAATTCTAATTTTTTTTATTTATAGCACAATATTTTCTTCTTTTTATGTAGTACATACTTTAAAAACTAAAAACAAATAGCGAAAAAGAAAGGAAGTTTGTTTGCAAATCACATAAATACATTCAAGGTATACACATGTTAAATAAAGTGTAAAGTATGTATGTATGTTTATGTGTATGTTTTATTTTAATTTATCTTTGTTGTTGTTGTTGTTGTTGTTGCTGCAGCTGTGTGTTTTTTATGCATTTTGCTGATATTGTTTTAATACATATATAGTCAGCTTAGAGTCAAAATTTGTTAGCTCCAGTTTTTTTTTTCAAACTTTACAGAAAAGAAGAAAAACTTCTTAAACTCATCTTCTTCAAATATTTTGCAAAACTTCGATACAATCATTTTTTCGTTTTCAAAGCAAAACATAACGAACATACGAAGGAGCAGACCAAAAATCAAAATCAGACGTTAATCAAAATTTTGGCTACTATTTTAATTTATCGGATTTTCTTTCTTTCTATGGACTAGGGAAGTATTGTTTTAATAGAAGTGAACAGAACTAAAATAATTAATTCGGTCTTTTGGAAATTCTCTCTCTTCTGGAATAATTTCCCTTGTTTTCTGTATCGAAATGTAGGGTTTCATAAAAGATGGACTTAGCAACTTTTCACCCTAAGCTAACGATATGTATGTTAAATATGTGGAGTTGATGGACGAGGCGTCGCTGTTATGAAGTAATTTATTTGCCTTTGATTCGCGCTATTGTAACTGATTTTTGATATTGTTGTTGGATGCGCCTAATATTTTTGGTTAACCATATCTAAAAGAAAAATACAAATAATATTAAATACAAAAGCATTTCAATTAAATAAGCGGTAAATTATAAATACGAAGTATGGACATATTATCAGATGTGCATATGAATAAATTTGTGTCACTGCATACATATGTAAGGAGTTTCGAAGTTCGAAATTTTTAGAAAATGCGATACAATTTTTTCAACATACTTTATGCAATTAATCCTTGTTTGGTCCATATTCTTTTGTGTTTTCCATTAGCATAAATTAAAAAAAAAAATTATACATATATTGTTTTTTATCTTCGAAATCTTTCGAACATAGACTCTAATTGAATTTTAGCGAAAAAATATAGAAATACATCCAAAATGTGCTGTTATGCGAGAAATTTTGAGCTTCGAAAATTTTCGAACATGCATTTTCGATTACGAAATTAATCTTCGTTTGATACATATCCTTTTGTGTTTTCAGTGAAGACTTTTAACAATTTCGAATGTATATCCGTTAGATAAAATTTTGGAATCAATACGTATTTCATATTTTCATTTACTTTTTTCCAAAGTGAGAACTGTCTGTTTTTCAATTCAATGCAATGAAATCTTAACCTAACTAAAGCCATAAATTATAGATAACATATGTATGTACATAAGTAAAAGCTTCAAGGCTTACGCGAAATTCACAAAAGGTCATCAAATTAAAAAAAAAAAACATTGAGAAAATGCTCAACACCCTCGACAACTAAAAATCTAAAAAAATCAACCGTACTCTTTAGCGACTTGAAACATACACTTTGTTACACTTAAATTGAATGCGCTACCAAACTGCATACTCGAAAGTTTACCTTAAATTCTACATACAACGTTCGAAATTTTGTTGTTATTTTTTGAAGTTTGACTAATTTTTGTCAACATTGTGGAAGTTTTGAAACTTTTATTTATGTGGTTCCTGTTATTGATGAAACTATAATTTAAATGTAAATTATTAAAAATAAATGAATTTCGGTATGGTAAATTCAAAAACAAGTCTCATTATTTACGTAAAAAATTGTTGCAATAAGGGGGGAAAAATGTTGAAATTGAAAATATTTAATCTCTTGGCCATAAAACACAAAAATGAAGAAAGCCAAGGCGGATCATGTTTGTCGTAAGTGTCGTCAAAAGGTGCCACGCCAGTCGTGTCTACGTAACGAGAAGGACCCAGATCTACGTATATCTGGTCAAGGATTATCACATCAGCGGATTTTCCAAAAATTCTTTGGGGAATTTGTGTGCTGTTACAACAACAAGCTCTTGTGATTACTTTTTTCAGTTTAATTTGTTTGTGAAAAATAAATGAACTAACCAGAAGTTTACAGTTATTTTTTCTCAGACAAATACGTTTATTTATAATAGCTTTGATACATCTTATGCTATCATATGAAATTTTAATATGTATTGTAAAATATATAAATAAAGCCAAAATAAAATGAGTACTGTGGAATGGATTAAGGACCAAGTGGCGCAATTTAGTAACGATACAGTTTTCTCAAATACATTTATTTAAATGTATGTATTTATGTGAGTAGGCATAATAATAACATGTGTAAATGTATATATATAATTTAATAATTAATACAGACTTGAATAAAATAATTGACATTTGGTTATGAATTTTTAAATATTGAACTTCGTTTCAGATTCAACATAAATATGGAAAAAATAATACAAACATATAATCACAAATCTATGCTACATAGTTGTGTTAAGTAACTGAAGACCTCTACAATATAAGAAAATTATTTTATTTTATTTTTATACATTTAAGCATGATATAACTTTCCTTTTAGGTACATGGAAAATATGTACATGAGGTTGAATAAGCTCAAAATTTAATATCAATTATATATGCTTTCAGCAATGGAGCTATCGATTGGCAATATGATTTATAATATATTGTTAATGATTTTAGACATACAGTGACGGGGAAATAAATGGGGACGCCACAATTTAACCAGTTGTGGCATTCTTTCTTGTTTTATTCAGTGTTTATTACTTCTTTATGAAAGTAAAGCCCAATATCCAACAAGTAACCATGTATCTCCGAATTACAAACTTTGTACAAAAATTCGACAAAGTGTAATGATAATTTCAAACATTTTAATACAAATTTTAGTCAAAATAAAATGACTACTGATTTTAGGATTTTTTTTCGCTGACGATATTATGCAGTTTCTGCCATACAAAGTATGTTGGCAAACGTTTGAAATTTTAAGGAACGTTTGTGGAAATTCGTCGAATTTATTTGCCCGCCAACTTTGAACATTTAGGCTGGACATTTTGACAGTTCAAAGTTTCTACACCTATGAACCTTTTGAATACCCCTGTTACTTTTTATGAAGTACTGAAATTTAATGAGTTGAACAAACCATGTTACAATTAATTTTAAAAATATTTTCAAACAGTGAACAAGCTAAATTCTAACAACTATATTTAGAACGCGGTTACCCACGAACGTGTACGTAGCGTAGCGTAGAAGTACGTAGAAACATATCAAGTTTTCTGTTGATAGAAAGAGATAGAAGAGACACCCACATCCCATAAGATAGATCGTGTCAGCTGACACGTTCTCCGTTTTTACGTCCGTGGGTAACTGCGCTTTTAATCATCGCATGTGTATGAACACGTATGTACATATGTAGGATTTATACATTTATAAGTACATGTATACACTTATAAGTACATGGTATGTATGCATGTAGTTATTAGTTGCATTTGATGTTGTTGTAAGTACTGGTGAAACACTTTTTGGTTCGATGGTCATAAACGCTTATGATTATTTTTTAGGTGCGAATGATTTTAGCTAAAATTCGACATACCAATTTTTGCCAGATTAATATTTTATTTAACTGTGATTTAAACTACAACAAATATTAATTTTTTCATTCAAAAAAGCAGTAATTGAATATTATATAGTACATACATATGTATGTATAATATTTTTACATATGTATTAATAATAGGAAGTTTAATTAAAGTTTTTCCTAACGGTATTAATATATAAGTATAAATATTGTGACTGCTTATTATTAATTGTTTTTTTTTTTTTAATAATTAGTTTGTGTTTTTATGTGTAAGTGTATGGCTGAGTGTGTGTTTTTGTGTTTATAAGTGAGCGCGCTGATAGAAAAAGGAGCAAAAGAAATGGAGCAGTTATAAATATTTTTTGTTTGAATATTTTTTTTTAGTTTGCTTTTCCATAAGGTTGCACGGATGTACATGCTAAGTTCATACGTATGTACGTTACATAAACTTTTTAACTCAGCTTCCCTATACTTTCTGCTGTCATCATTTGCCAAATAACACCGTCATCATGAACATATGTATGTATTGTTAGCAATATAATTTGCAGTTTTTTTATTAATTTAGTAATAATGATCTTTATTAACATCATCTTTTCCAAACACCTTCTCGTGAACATGTTAATTAGAGCTTCGTAATTCAATCTTTTTTTAATGTTTGTATGTTATATTTTTTTTTTTAATTTATCCACTAAATTAGTTTTATTTGTCTTATATACCTGGCGTATATGTCGGCTGTTCGGTAGCATTGAGCGATGTATTCTCTGTAGCAGCAGCCACTGGTGCGCCCGTAAATGGATTCACGCCAGTGGCGGTTGATTGGTTTGGTGGTGGCATCGCGAAAACTGGTGCTGGTTGTCCACCGGCGCCACCAAGACCTGGTTGCTGGGTATTGGTTCCGGCACCCAAGTTAATATCATCCAAATCGGCGTCCTCCTGTGGATAAAAAAGAAAGCAGAAGAAAAAGAAAAAAGGAGTAATTAATTAGAAGATTAATTAATTTGGACATTAAGTGACAGATAAAATGGCAATCGAGCAATGATTGTGAGTATAAATGAGCGATAATGTAAAACAAATTTAGTTAAATGAAAGAACGGACTGCGAAAAGACGGAGCATGTGTTATGTATGTGGATAGACAAAAGGACAAAAGGCTGTTTTCAACGTATAAAATCAAAACAAAAAATATACAGAGAAAAAAAATAAACTAAAAGAGTATGTATGTATGTAAGCTTTTGGACGGAAATGACATTCAATTTCGCAAATGTAATCTACCTATCCTAAAATAAGCAATTTGTAAATGAAGCTTTGACGTCTGTGTACAAAATGTGTATGTACGTACTATGTACAAACGCACGAGCTAATGATTTGAAAAATATTACATACTGTCAGGCGCAAAATTTATTTTCAAAGGCTCCTAGCACTTTTACTTACCGATATGCCAGGTTTTAAGACCTTCACAGTTGAATTGTGGTAAATGTGTTCATCAACAAGACACATTTTAGTAAAAACTAACTCTAATGCGAACATTTTCGCACAATAGAAATACTTGAAAATAAGCGAAAATTCATAAATACACTCAAAACGTGCTGAAAAGCGCAACATTTTTTAACTTCGAAAAATTTCGAACATATAATTTCTTCTTCTCTGACACTGATTGCAATATTTTTTCAATACGAACGCACAGTGCACGCAATTGATTTATTTTTTTATCTTAAATTTTCGAATATGAGCGCAATTTATTTATAGCACCATCGTATTTTCATTTTAGGATCTATCACTTATCTCTCCAAAATTTAGAATGGATTTTGATTATGTAGTTGAATATTAAAGTTTTTGAGTGAAAGTCTTGCATATACATATGTATGTACTTTCATTTCTGTAGCATTTTGATAAAACAACTTATCTCGAGTTGGGCTATTTTCTCTTTAAAACAATATTTCATTGTGGAACAAAAACAATACTTTAATGACTAACTAGCCATATTCGAAGTAAATATATAAAATTTTTTAAGGGAAATGTATTCCTTTTAAATCTAAAGTTAAACCTTCTAAAGTCACTTAAGTCGGTTTTATCAAAATGCCACAATTTTTTTTACTTTACATATATAATTTTTTCTATAATGTTTTAAGAAACTTTTGCTATTCTAAAATAAATTATATATTTAGCTTCGAATGTTTTGCATAATCGCCGGAAATTCTCGAACATGGAAAATATTTGAAATTAAGCGAAAAATTATAGAAATGTGATAGACTTAAAATGTTTGCAATATATCGAGCCCTACCGCCAAAATAACGTAAGCGACATTTTTTCAAAATTTTCTTTTTGATGCAGAAATATTTCTAGGGCATCTAGATGCATTTCTGCATCAAAAATAAAATTTTGAAAAAAATGTCGCTTACGTTATTTTGGCGGTTAGGGCTCGATATGTATGTATGTATTTTACTAAATTTTCAATAAGAACATTGAGCGCACCAATTTTATTTATTTTTATAACGCAATTTTTTGCCTACCAGTTTTTTACAAATGATCAGGTTTTAAATAGAACTTACGTAGACAGTTTTTGCATTTAAAATGTTCGTAATATAATTTTTCATAATGTTCAAAATTTTTAGAACATGGAAAATACTTGAAATTAAGCGAAAAATCTTAGAAATACACCTAAAATGTGCTGATGGAAAAAACAATTTTGAGTTTCGAAAATTTTCGAATATGCGATTACTCCTTTCTTGGTAGAAATTTTTGTGTTTCTTCAACAAGAGCTCGCTCGAAAACCATCGTTTTGGCACTTACTTTATTTATTTCAACGTATTTGAGTAGTTTTTTTTAATGAAAATTTCGAAAACAATTTCAGTTCTCAACTGTTTTTATTTGCAAACTTCTTTGATTTATTTTTTGTGTATGTATAAACGAATTGAATAAAATTTTCTATATATAAATACTGCAGTTTTTATTTGAATATCCAACATTGTGGTTCCTTTAAGCTTGGGTTGGTTGTTGCTAAGTATGATAAAAAATAAAACAAAACGAGAATTTAGTTTACACCAAATTAAAAATTTTAAAAAAGAAAACAAAAAAAAATACAATAAAGAAACAACGAAACTAGCGAATGTGGGAACTTAAAAGTGTGAATAATGCTTCAATATTACTCATATAAAAATAAGTGTATGAAATGCAAAACGAACAGAATGCAACGTACGACATTAAAAATATCGCAAATGGAAACAGAATGTATTTTCAACGTAATGCCACCGATTTTTGTTTTTATGCACAACTTTGTCATTAAAGCTGTTGTCATTTAATGCTTAGTGAAAATACAGCATAATATTGAGTGCTTCAAATCAAGACATTCGGTATGCCATTACGGTGATGGAATGATTGCTTGTATCGAACTGAATGAATACAATTTTAATTAATGCAGCGCAATCGCTATAGAATGTAGTATACACTTAGGTCTCTTTTTAAGCGATTTTTTATGCGGTTTTTCAAGCTTTTTTTTCGCTTTAGCGATTTTGCTTTTTTGATAGTTTTTATTACTTTTTTCAGTTTGTAAGATACAATGCTTCTGATAAATAATTTGTCTTTGTATTCTTACATAATTCATGTATTTATTGTGGAATGTTTTTATTAATTTTTAGTTAAAATACATATAAAATTTTATTTATTTGATTAATGGCCAGTTTTACATGGAATAATAAGTGTTGAAGTGAAGAAATAAATGGTTTTTTTTTTTTGCTTAATACTGCCTCATTGGATTTTTTATGCGGTTTTTTAGAATTTTGTACATGGAGTATCTGAATTTATGCGGTTTTTGAAAATGCTGTTTTTGTATGAAAGTAAAGAACTTTTTATGCGGATTTTTTATGCGGCTTTCTGAGGAACGCATGTACCGCATAAAAAAGACCTAAGTATAGTAAATTTTTTTTATAATCGACTTTCTTGAATGCCGGGTTCCGAACGTTAAACTTTTTGATTTGTTTCCTAATTTATTCAAGAGTTAGACCCTGTGAATTCCAGTTCTTTTGAATTTTTTTTAACAGGAGCATGTTCTATGAAGCTGCTAAATCAAGCTTCCTCAAACAACTGCTGTTTAATTTTAATAACATCTACGAAACTGGTATCATAGCGCTTACATTGAAATCATATATAAATTTGTAGCATTTTCGCAGATTTCATGAAAATCGAACTTGCGAAGGATTCAGTAATAGACCCGAGGAAAAAGACTTTTTAATCTTAGTTTGAATTAGTTCTCAGTAAAAATGAAGTAGTCGTAAAATGTATAGCGATACGAGATCTACTCCGAAATTTGTATTGCTGGTAAGGAAAACGCGGGAATTTGTGATTGAAAATGGCTTTATTGTCTTCCAAAGTATTCGCCATGATGGTCAACCTACTTCTGCATTCGCTCAAACCACTTTGCTTTAATACAGCCATGCCACTCCCAAAATTGGCTCAACCAACACATGCGTTTTAAAAACATTAGCCGCGTCTGCCGGCATCAAAAATCGTTGACTAAGCAGCTTATTTTTGACGTTCAGTGGATGAACGCATAATTTATGCGTCATGACGAAGAATCATTAGTGGAATATGGTTTTGTTCCACACAGAATTTACAGGTCTACAATTTTCTATGGTTTTGTCGGTTTAGGCCGAGACCAAACATTTTGCGCCAGTTGTTTATCCCAAGTGCAGAGAGGTCCTTCTGTACTTGGTCCTTCCATTTTGTCGTGGCCGCCCTTTTTTTCATTGGGTGCCGAGTCGGGGGACATTTGCACTGGAGCTTCGTCATCCATGCGTACAGCATGGCCAAGCTAACGCAATCGTTGTATTTTTGTGCAATTAACCATATCTATTCCGTCGTCGGCCGCTGTGGTAAACAGTGCGCGCTTCCACTCCGCAGCACCTGGGTTCAAACCCTGGTCAAAGCAACATCGAAAAAAAAAAAAATAGAAAAAGGCGTAAAACTGTAGGTCCCTCCGCTTTGTGTGACAATATCAAGGCGCACGCCATAATTCGGAGGAGAAGCGCGGCCAAACACTAACATATGTGTAAGCGTTAATCTATTATTATATTATTCCGTCGAAAAGCTTGTAAAGTTTGTAATTCCATCTTCTTCGGTACCTGTCGCCCACGCGAACAGAGCCATAGATCTTGCGTAGAATATTTCTCTTGAAAGCACTCAAGGCCCTCTTATCTTGACTCGACATCATCAACGTTTCTGCGCCATATAAAACGACAAGTATGATGAGGGATTTGTATAACGTGATTTTTGTTCGCCCGAAGAGAGCTCTGCTTTTCAAATGCCTAACGAGAGCAAAGTAACACCTGTTGGCAAAAGTTATTCTTCGCTTGAACTCCAGGCTGTGATTACTTATTGGTTATGTTGAGTTCTAAGAACTTCGCTACTTCGAAATTATAATTGTCAACAGTGACGTGCATCACAATACGGATAGACTTTTTATGTGTTGCCAGGAGGTGCTTTGTGCTGCCACCTGTTCATCGCTAGATCAACCTCTTTCGGGTCGTTTTCTTGATTGGAAAATGCTGAACTGACATCCCTGGGCATGAATCACGTATGACGACAATCGTCTGACCGATATCGTGTCGAGATTGTCTTGCTTCATAAAAATCAAAAATTGTTTGATCGTTTGTGCGATATCGTCAACTCGATTCCAGTTTTGCTTCACGTAACAGCAACACAAATGCATAAATCAGTGTTTTGACAACATTGTTTTGTCAGCATCGTTTGAACGACTATCGTTTCAAAGTTACGTGATTCATGCCCTGGGTTCAGTGGCGGATTTAAATATTTGCCGCCCCTAGGCAATTCATAACTTGCCGCCCTTTTTTCACGAAAAAAATAATAATAAAATCGCTCATCCGGAAGATTTTTTGACCTCGCGCAAGACAAACAGAAGACCATACACAGATACACTGCCTAATTTGACATACGACGGAAGCTGACCTTCAGATTATTCACGTTATGATACACTTATGAAAAACTGGTGGGCTTGGAATCAAGAATTTTCTCGAAAATGCACGCTCGTTTTTCGGCAGTGTTGTCAAGTGTGGTAACCTTTTAGATGATTCTCGTTCTCGGGGCAGCGTGTCGGCTGTTTCTTTGCGTCACGCGCAGGCGCGCCGTCAGGTTTCTAAGCCGCGTGAATGAAAGTTAAATGGAAATTTCAACGACTGCTATACTAAGGAAAAATTCGCAGCGTAATTCTAATTTTGAATTGTATTGAATGAGATGAATCATTAATAATATTTTACAGACACAAACACAATTTCAAGTGCAGCTGAATCCAAATAAATTTTTTTCTTTTAATTTAGCTGTCTTAAATTTTGCCGCCCCTTAATTCTGCCGCCCTAGGCTTCAGCCTATGTTGCCTGTACGATAAATCCGCCACTGCCTGGGTTTCAAGCGTCAACGTCACTCTACATAGCCGTATTAATTTTGCGAGGATCCCAAATTAAGGCATGGCGTCGTACAGACAGCCTATCTTCGTGCTATCAAAAGCGGCTTTAAAGTCGACAAAAAGATGGTGTGTGACGATTTGCATATCTAGTATTTGCGCCAGGATTTGAAGGGCTGTGAAAATCTGATCAATGGTGCTCTTACCAGGTCTTAATCCAGATTGATAAGGTACAAAAAGTTGATTCATAAAGGGCTTCAGTCTTTCATACATTATCGCGGACAGCACCTTCTAGGCAATATTAAGAAGGCTTATTCCGCGATAATTGGCGCAGACGACGGTATTTGCTTTGTTGTGGTTTGAACAATATTCGAGCATGTATTCAACAGACCAAATTCCGCTTAAAAGCTGGTATATGCTCCCTACCAGCTTGCTCCTCAGGCTGTCGTTTCTAGGGAGCATTATTGCTGTTCTCACCTGGCCTTGGTCGAGTTGAAGGACGCATTCTTGGCTGCCAACATCTCATACTCTTCGCAATCATGCCTTCCTGCCTCTCGTTTCTCCTTTTGAATAGACGGTTCGCCTCCCTCCTCTTCTCGCGGTATCGCTCAACTGTCGCTCGTATAGCTATTGACTTTCGCTCGCGTAGCTGTTCGTATTTCTCTGAATCAGCAGCAACACGGCACTCTTCGTCCTACCAGTTGTTCCTGTGTGGGCGCTAGTATCCAACCACCTCTTCCACAGCGGCACGACTCATTTACATCCGGTCGATGAAGAGTTTCTAGTTCAAGCAGTATTAAGAGTTAAGAGATTGCAAATTTCTCGGCTGTCTATTGTGACTGCAGCTTCCCGACGTCGAACTTTTGTCGCGTTGTCTGACACACGTTCTCGATGTTAGCTCCTCGCTGTGTTCCATCACACGTCAAGAACGCTCGAAGCTTATCTTCGCTCTATCAAAACATGATCAATTTGGTTCTTCATTCTTTGACCAGGGGATGCCCAAGTGGCTTTGTGGATGTTTCGATACTGGTGCCTGGAACTACTAACAACCGATCAGTGTTTCCAAATCTCAAGATTTATGTTATAGGTGGAATTTCATTAATCATTTCACGAATATCATGTAATAAGGATCTTTAGAATCCATTTCTACAAAATTAGTATGAAATTACCAAGTTTAGGAAGAATGGACAACGGTTTATACACATTAAAATTTAATATTGAAGTTGTAATAAGGTGTTGCAAAATGAACAGTGTTATATATGCTTAGTAAAAGTTCCGTGAAATAAAATATATATGTATATATATGTATGATGACACCATTAAAACGCAGCCCAACACCAAAAAAAATAAATCCAAAAACGAAAAAGCCACAAACAATTAATCCAAAACTTGTCAAAGCCTTTAAGCACAGCCATGACACAAAAATTAAAGTAATAAATAGTTTGTTAAGCAATTAGTAGAAAACAAATAAATAAAATATATAACTAACTACATTTAGTTGTTAAAATAAAATAAATGATGAAAATATTTGAGGGCTACTTACATTATGCGCTGTGGTCTGTATCCTATTTGTTGAATTATCACTAGGCTCTCTATCCCCTTCGCCACGCTACAACATGAGTTTTCAAATCGAAATCAAATCGAACGTATTTTTTACGAGAAAGTTGAGTATGAGCCAAAAAAAAAAACAAATAAACGAACGAGGGTAAACGAATAATACAACAACAATAATAATAATAATTTTACAATAAATAAAAAAATATCAATATAAAAAGGGTCTTTAGAGTGCATAGAATAGCAAAGTAAGCGAAGAAAATTGTGGAAGCAGCAAGTGTAAAGGAGTAATGATTGGTTTGTAGTAGTGAAAGAGGAGTGAGATTGGGGAGTGGCGTTTAACAATGCCAAGCATGAGAAAGTGTGTAAAGATGTGGATAGGGGCGTTATATACATATTGGTATACGAATTTTAAATCAAAAATGGAAGAAACCAAATTTAAGTGCTCTTCAAAGTGAATTGAGAGTAACGCATAATGCCGTAAAGAATACTAAGGATCCGAAGATTGCTTGCCAAATTTAAATACCAAGGAACTAGAATTGAGAGAATATTTAATTTTGCTTGAACAAAGAAAAAGAAGCAATTGCAATGCAATTCCCAGTTTCCGTTGTTCGTTTCTGGGTGACACTTATGTATATGAGGGTTCGCAAAGCAAAGGATATTTGATGATTTTCGTAAAGTGCTGTAATTTTTTTTTTCGTAGTTGCGTGTGTGTGTGGCATAGTAAATGTATTGCTATGATTAATTGTGCGATTTGGGTATTCTAAAAATTAAGTGCAATTTATTATACAATATTTTCAAATATTTTTTGTGTTAAAATTTTTTTGTATTTTAAAACTAACAATTTCTTTCAAAAACAAATTTCTTTTTTATTTTGTAAGGTGTGTAAGCGTGCAATTTATCTGTGCTGATAATTATACAAACTATTAAAAGCAACAATCAAAAACCAAGTGCGAAGATTTTTGGGAACGGTAAGCAAACGCAAAAAAATACTACTTTTAAGAGAAGGTTAATCATACCAACTTTTCCTGACTCAAATACTTAATTATTTTAGCAAAAAATCGAGGTAAAGAGTGTTGATTAAATGTGAATAAATGAAAAATAATAAAATAAAATAATAAAACAAAATGAAATAAATTAAAATAAAGTAAAATTAAATTTAGATAAAATTAAATAAATGAAATGAAACAAATTAAAATAGAATACATATAAAATAGGGTAAAATTTAAATAAAATTAAATTAAATAAAATTAAAATAAATAACATGATATAAAATATAAGAAAATAAAATAAAACAAAATGAAATAAACAAAATTACACACATTTTTCTTGAAAAAAAAATTTTAAAAACATTTAAAGAACAATTTTCGATTTTAAATGAATTAAGGTATTCGCAAGGTGTCAAAGCAGTCGTATTGTCATAAACTTGAAAATGTTTTGCTTTGTTCTGAATCAGCAATACGACTCGTTGAGACACCTGGATAATCCCCTAAATATGTAATTCCTTAAAACTCAATAGCAGTGATGTCTTTGCATATTTTCACAAATCGCTTAAGTGATTCACAAATTCTACAACAGTTAAAAATATTTTTTGGTTATAGTCAATCAGTCAAACATATTTTCCATTGTTAAAAAATGTATTAAGAATCTCAAATCTTGTAATGAAAATTATTCCCGCGTTTAGAGTAAAACTTTTCGCAAGCGCACATTACTTTTATCAATAGAATTACTGTACTTTCTCAGCGCTTTTAGGCATTTTTTTATGTTAAAAAAATCTCCATATACCAGTCGGCGAAATAGCTTTCAAACGGAAGATCTTCCAATAGCCACACCAAAGTTAAATTTAACATTATTATTTAGTGAAAGAGAAGCTAAGGTAGAAGGTCTGAAACTCTGATCATTTAATAATGAAGAAAGGGAGAGTCGAAAATGGCAAATATATCGCTTCAAAAGATCAAGAATAAGGGATCTGAGTTCTCTTGCCGACTAGAACTTCATAGATATATTTGTAGTTTCGAAAATATATATTTACGACATGCAAAAGATTATATCAGAGGAATCCCTATACTTTAAGCTGACATTGAACTAAAATATTTAACTACCGTCCCCTTTATAGTTTTTATCCAAAACATTCTTAATGGAAGTTCCTAAAGATTTCCAAACCAATTCATAGCAGAGTTGATTTGCCTCAGCACTAGCTCTGCCAATAATATATCTAATGTTTGCATGTACAAATATCCAAAATAATGATTAACGCAAAAAAAACTGCCAAAGATCGATGCCAGCAATCAGCAAACTTATTCTGAACCTTTTTTATGCAAAAACCCTTAACTCAACTCAAAAACTCTTGCAGATAATTTGTATTTATTTCAAAATTGCGTTTATCGTTTTGCATTACCTTCCAATCGTTGCAACAGCACCCAGAGAGCACTAAAAAATATTCAGCTTTATTTTACCATTGTAACGTAAAAAACAAATATTATACTACCGACTAAGGAATTAAACAAAAACCCAGCAAAACTTATGTGCACTTTGTTTTCGGTAATTCTGATAGCTTCACTTACCTGCCGCAGCTTCAAACCAGAGGCTTCATACAAAGAGCGAGTATTATTGAGAGGATATGAGTTTATGGGAGATATGGTGGTTTGAGAAAATAAGTCTAGCAAAACATGCGAGTCGAAGTGTAATTTGTAATAAAAATTAATTGGCTGCGGTACAGGTGCATGTACATATGTAGTATGTCAATGTTATAAGTGCATGCAAACTCATGAAACAATCGAATGCAATCGCAAGTAATAAAAAAATGCATAAAATCAATTATATTAAGTAATTTAAATGCAAAAACAAATTAAAGGGAAATATGTTATCAGAATTCAATGGCATGAAAGGCAGTAAATACCGCAAAAGCACTACAAAAATCATCAAAACTATAGGGTACTTAGAGCGTTGTTTGAGGAGAATACTTCTCTAGAGTGACGCGCGGGGAAAGAGTAACGAAAGCAGTGTATGATAACAGATGCAGGAATGTAGGGAGAGAAAGTTAGAAGTGTCAAAATATCTAAATTTATAGTTTTTGATAGCTTGACGCAAACATTTGGATGTAGCTTAGAAGCATAGAAAATTCTTCGGTATGCTATGCACTTGATATAACAAAATAATTTGTTAGCATATGCTAGGTGATGTATGGAATAGTTAATAATTCAGATTAGTAAATGCATAGCGCACGTGCATAAGTAGGCTGATGAGATTTCAAGTGCAAGTGTGGGTGAATGAATTCCATGTAGCGACTACACGTCAGAAATGGTAGAGTGCTTCTGGCGCGGCAGATTGAATCAAAGCTAATGCAACCAGCAGCATTTCTAAAGACTGTTAGACTTTTTTCCTTTACATTTTTATATATAGATATGTATATCCTCTTTTTCTACTGCCTTACTCGATCCCGAACTTTTTTTTCATCACAAAACACCCGCCGTGTTAGAGCAAAGTATAAATGTGAGGAATGCATAAAGGAAGCACTAACATAGAAAATCAATGTAGAAACTAATATTTCGTTACTTACATTCAAATGTGCATATTGATCATGTGACTCGTTCGCTGGTGGCTTAAATTTGCCACAGCAGAAGTTGCAGCAGCAACAACAGCAGCAGCAACAGCAACAGCCAGTCAAAATAGTGCAGCAAATAACAAGCGCCTAGAGGGGAGACGAAAAAGAAACGTTTTATAAATATAAAATGCGTCTAAAAATTGATGAATACAAAAATACAATGCTGCAAGCAAATTGCTTTCAGTACCAAGAAGAATTTTTTTTCACTTTTTACTTTCTGAAACTAATACAAATGGTCTTTTATTTGCTCTGTTCAAGTTAAATTTAAAATTTTCGCACTGAAAGCTATTTACTAGCCAAGTTTTCGAGCAATTATCATCTGCTGTTGCATTATCGTACCTTCACCGCTGGCGATGTCACCACAAAGTAGGCATTTACATTCTCCTCGCCAAATTGCTCGGCAATGTATAGACCTAATGAACCATAATTATCGTAAATATTACGTTTCGTCTGATCGCTCAATATGGAATGAGCTCGATTTACTTCCTTGAACTGTGAAAAGAAGCGTAAAGAGATTATTAAGTAAAAAAATAAGCTTACAAAAAATATTCGTATTCCCATGCTTTGCTTAAAATATTCAAACATATTTTAAGTTCTTTACAAATTAGACTGACTAATTAATTCAATTCAATACAAAACCTCGTATTCCATCTAATTAATGTAATTCCGTACATAAAATAGCATCGCATAATGTTTACAAATTGCCACTTCGCATTTGTTTAAAGTTTCAAGCTATTCAGCGTGCAATTTAGCCAAATTTTTTGCTTTTGTATTCGCCTTTAGCGCGCTCTTAAATTTTTAAGAGTAAATTATATGAAAATGCAAATATATCAAAGAAGTTGCAAAAAAACTACAAAAAAGTGCAACAAATTTTCACCTAAATTTCAAACTCTTTTCTCGGAAGTGTTCGAATTTTTTTGAGTACACAGTTTTTTAGCCCCTTCAATTTTAGTCTAATAATGTGCAAGTTTCAAGTGGCTAAAATTTACCGTTGATTTTTAGATTTTTTTCGCAAAAGGTGTTGCGGATTTCTTCCATATACAAATAAATTAGACAACAAATTAAAAAAAAAAGCCACTTAAAATTTGCACATTATCAGACCAATATTGAAG